CCCCAAAACCCCAAAACCCCAAAACCCCAAAACCCCATGAAATAATTAACAATAATAATGAAATAAAAGAGTTTAAATAAATAGCAAATAGTAATTATATTATTAAACATTTCGCTAGGTGTTATTTCCCAATAGTTTTGGATGAGCTATTTAATTTTCACATCAATGTTTAATTATACCTCTTCTAAAGATAGTAGTCCTGACTGTTAATACCTATTTATTTCCTAACTTTTTGTGTGTATGCTTTTATAAATCTTCATCTGTACTAACCAAATCATCAGGATGTAAACTATTGTATTGCTTTATGCCTTCATCTAGTATACGCTAATCTTTTGTATTATTAGAGATGAATCTGATCTTACTAATCCCTTGAAGCCTTCTAGAGTAAATAATATCAACTACATCTATTGATGTTACTTTCTTTCCCATCCAAATATCATGATCATCTTATTAATATGCTGTTTAAACGTATTCAAATAATTAGTCATGGTCTATTTGCTTTGATTTAGATAGTTAATTCTTTTTGGAGATGTTTTTGTAACTTAAAGGTTTATTTAAATTCTACTATTCGATTTACTAATTTTTAATGTCTTATTATCTTTTTTGTTCCTCCTCCGATCTTTTAATCTCCTATTCTCTCTATAATTTTTGTTGTAAAAATTCCTCTTGTTCTCTTTAAAGCATTTCTAAAACCAATCTTTCCTCCTCCTATTCCTTTTATTTCTTCTCCTCTTCCTTTTATTTGATTTATCTTCTTATCTTTTCTTCAATTTATTTTTACTCTTCTAATAAAGCTTGCTTATTTAAAGATTTGTTTTCATATTAGCTGTCTTAGAACTAGCTTAAACTCATTCAATTTTCTAATTATCTTGCTTTGTTTACATTTTATTGAATATCCAATATAGCATTTTAGCCAATTGCTGAATAAGAGTGTAAACTATTTTTATCAACATTGCTTGCCGAAATATTTGTATTATTCCCTATGTTTGAAATTCAGGATCTTGAATCATCTTGTTAGGAGTCCACATTTATTTTACTTACCTTAAGGACAACTTGCTCTATGAATTTATCCTTAAACTTTTATTTGAATTCAATTTTTTCCAGAGTATAGTTTTGCTTAGAGCAAATCTACTCGAATTCACTCATGATTTTCTTCATTGTAATTGTAGCAGGTGCAATTGCTCTAACAAATATTTTGTCTTGTCCTTCTTTTAATAATTTATGCTTTAAGTAAAGAGCTGAATTCATAACATTTGATTTCTTAGCCACTCTCATTTACTTTCCAATCAAGTCAATTTTTTCTTTCATCTTATTTTGAATTTACTTTATCTTATCCTGAGCTTATATTTTTTCATTTGTTCTAGTATTAATCTGAGAATTTTAAAATAAACTTTTAATATCTTTTAAGTCCTTCTCAGCGTCTTAAATATCTAATAGGTCAAATATATTATCATCATTAGTTTGATTCTCCTGCTATTTTTTTAAATTCTCCATGAAAAATAGTTGCTATTATAAAGTACTCATGAAATTAGGATTTTCTAATGATAGTTCAATAGCTTTTTAGATTTGTTCGCGATATAATTATTCTTAAACAATTTCTTCCTATCTATCTTCTTCATGGCCTGTTATTTCAGGCTCATCATCTTAAATATTCTGATAATTAGAGTTAAAATACCTGTTTCTGTATAAGTTCTAAGACTATTATTATGGATATTGTAATTTTCTATTTTCTTACTTTTTCAATATTACCTTAAATCCTGTTACTTCAAATTCCTCTTTTTCAATGTTATGAATCTGTCCAAGATCTGTAATCTTTTGATTAAATTGTTCGAAAGTTACTGTCTTATTTTGAATAGTTGAACTTATTTTTATAAAATGTTGATTTCCCATGTAGGTTAATATAATACCATTAAGATTTTCTAGGTCCTTCTCAAATTATTCAAAGAAACTTCCTACATATGCTCTCAAAATATCATAATCTTCATACAGCCACTCCTGTATATCTGTCTGAACATTCCCTAAAGATTATAATTCTTTAAGCAACATTTTATTTGCAGTTTGTATACCTACAACTTGTACTCAACATAAGGACTAATTCTTTAGCAATAGGTTTTTAAATCTATCCTAATACTTAACTGAAATGTTTTGATAATTTTAGGACTGAGTGATAAATACGATATGTGTTTCCTAAGCTGTCTTCATTCTATCATATATTCTATCAAGTGCTGTATTAAAATCTATTTATCCATATGGGGTTATAATATCATTAACTTCACCAACAAATTATGGGAACAAATGATTCTCTATCTTTGCCTTATTTAATGATATCTAAATGCATGTGGTAGTAAGGGTAACTATTACTAATTCATTGAATGAACCATTTCGTATTTAACTCAGCATACCCTGGCAAAACTGCAGTAAATGGGACTTTAATAATGAAAGACTATTATGATTATGGATACTGACACTACAATCAATAGCTATTATGAGATTTCTATTCTAGAGTTTCTCATTCATATACTTTTCAAAAGCATCCTCGCTTGTAGTGAGTTAAGCAGTAATCTGTTAATTTCGACTATCTATCATTTGATAATCTACTTTTATCTGCATTATTCTCTAACTTTCCATTTTATTACTTGATGATTATTTATTCAATGTATAATTATGCTCAATCTTTCTCAATTATAATTAATACTTTTATAATTTTAATTCAAATTTCATTAATTGTCATCTAAAGGGGTTTTGGGGTTTTGGGG